CAACACGGAGTAGTATTTGTAAACGGAGAGGAAAATATTTAAACACTGCTGCGGTTCCGGTTGAGGATCTTTTGGGGTTTGGTTCGAGACGTTTTCCACATCTGAAGTCATTCTAATACATGATGAGTTTCAATCTAATTCAGTCCCTTAAAGCTCTGTCTGCAGGTTTAGCATTGTTGTTATCCTGGAAGGTAAACCGCTTCCTCACAGTCGTTTTGAGCTTTTAACATGTTTTCCTGCATAATTTATCATCTTCCAGCTGACCAACTTAATAATAACCTTTATTTAACCATGTTTGTCCCACTGAGATCAAAATATCTCTTTCACAAGAGAGACATCACCAAGACCAGCAGCATTCCCAACTGCAGCTTCTCTTCTGCATGATGCTGCCACCACCATGTTTAATCATAGGCACTGGTGACCTTCAGTGTTAATTTTCCGTCACACAAATTAGATCTCATCTGACCTCAGCACCTTCTCCAATGGCTTCTGACAAACAGCAAATGGGTTTTATCATAGTTTTCTTTCAACGACTTTATTATTTCTTGCCATTCATTAAAAATAAAATAAAATAGAATATGAGGAGTGCATAACTAAGATTTCCTGTCAACAGATTTTATTTCCATCTGAACTGTGGATCTCTGCAGCTCCTCCAGAGTCAGTTTTCAAAGCGGGGGTCGTGCCAACCAGAAGCAAACTCTGTTTGGGGGCCTGGCCTGGAAAAGTTTGAACCAACGTTCTAACTCAGTTCATCATGAATATGGAGGAAATTTCTCCACTCACATTCGATTCCATAGCAGAACTTTAAACTGCTTCGCACCTATGCACTATTTTGTATCGAGATTCTTTAAAACACAGAGTAGGTTGAAGTTGCAACATCAAATGCGGAACAATTCAAGAACTGTGAGTATCTTCACAAAGGAATGTTTGTGAAGACGCAGAGAGCAGCAACGACTGAATCAAAGTGTGCAACAGAGACTCATCCTCATGATACTTGACGGTTCAGCCTGTGTGGATTTATACAGACAGACATGCTATTGGGTTAATACTGTATTATGTCAGAACCCCCCACTTCCATTCCACATAAAAGAGTCAGTGGGCCAGTAATTCTGCGCAGCCTCTCCCCTCGCTGTTATTCTGTCTCAACTAAGTCCAAGCCATCTGTTACAAACACGGCTCAAATCCGGTGCCGTGAGTCTGACATATACGTTTCCCCCTGCAGACACACGCACTGAGTCAGGCTGCTCCGGCCAGATGAGTGTGAACAGGTGCAGCTCCCTCCAGCGCGCAGCCATAACCTTTGGAAAATAAATTGCTCGCTGGCTGCCGACACGCTCTCCGGTGTTGGGGCGACGAGACGCGGGGAGATAGTTGATAATTACTGTGCGCGCACTTGAGCATTCGCCACTTATGTGCAGCGTTGAGGTGGTTTTGAGGCACCAAATGATCGCAGGCTGCTTTCTCGAGTCGACCCGCTTCTGCTCGCCTCTGATAGACCACTCAACTGAGCTGCCCGTCAATTTCATGCACACACACACACTCACACACACACTCACGCATCCACTTTTATTAAAGACTCCTGATGCTCCCATTTAGTGAGCGCAGCAGTTTGAGTCGTGGGCAAACATCCGCTGGAGAAAGAAAGGTCCTGATGGGAAGGGGGGAGACAGACAGGGGTCTCGGGTTGTCACATCGTGAGTGACAGGAAGTGGGGAGGACGAGGGGGGAGGCGTCGGGCGTGGGCTTGTTGGACGGGGTTGGCTTGAGGTGCCCAAAGGCAAAGAGAAAAAAAATTGATTATGCAACGCATTATGCACTTGTTCCCTCCACCTCGCCTTATTTCCATATCCTTTTGTTGTCGGAGCTTGATGGGACCCGGCGCTGCGCCGGGGCACCTGCACCTCCATGCCAACAAAGTCCTGTCTGATCTGCTGCCACTGTTAACATATCTGCACATGCATATTCACAGAGTGGTGCAAACACACAAGGGGGGGTAAAAGAAAAAAGAAAGAAAAAAAGGTGGTAATTATACGGAGCTGCAGGTGCCGCAGCATCGAGCTCCCACGTGGCAGAGTTTCACACACTGTCAAAGTCTCATTAATTCCTAGACATCATCATAACTGCGGAAGCCCGACAATGCTGATTGCCAGCTCCTGACGAGAGAGTCTGCGGGCTTCAGCAACAGGAACCTGGAGGAAGAAAAGTTTGTCTCTTACCTTCCTCTGCTGAATCAGGCTGGAAAAAAAGGCAGAGAGACAGAAAGACACTCCACATCTCCACTCCAGAATGACACTGACAGACAGAGAGGAAGGGAGAGCAGCAGGAAAAACAGAGACAGAGGGAGATGGAGTGTGTGACAGAGTGGGAGGAGGAGGAGTCTGTTTGCTCCTTTTTTCTTTTTTCCACGGAGAAAGAGGGAGTGAGGGAGGGGAGATGGAGGGAGGGTGGTGGTGGCGGATGAATGAACGAAGGAGGGAGTCAAGAAAATATTTACAGAGCGGCAAACCATTGCTGTTGAGGAGTAAGATGGGAGAGTGGGGGGGCAGGAATAAATGAAGACATCAGAAAGAGGGAGAGGAGCGCAGTGAAAGTTATTTTTGCAGGTCTGCCAGACAGAGGAGATGAATACAAGTTTGTCCGGTCTTCACAAACCGCTTTCATGACTTGTCTAAAGTCCATTTCCAACTGGCATCCCTCGCATGTCCGGACTCTGCGCTAACTTGCATTTTTAAAGCTGTGGCATGTGGGAGTTCTTTTATTTACATTTCTTTTGTGTGTGTGTGTGTGTGTGTGTGTGTGTGTGTGTGTGTGTGTGTGTGGGTGTGTGTGTGTGTGTGTGTGTGGTGTGTGTGTGTGTGTGGGGGGTGTGTGTGTGTGTGTGTGTGTGTGTTGATGTCAATTTGGTGGGAAAAAAAAGAAAAAAAAAACATAATTCAGAAATGATTTTGGATGTTCTCCATGTACTTTTGGTGGTTTCTCTCTTCCTGACAACCCCCGCTGTTTATTCCTCTCAGACACACTCCTCGCCTCTCAAGGCAGATCACCCAGACAGCGTGCACTGACAAACTCACACGCACACACTGCACGCACACTCACAGAGCGTCATACACCTGCTGGTCTCTGCACGCCCCTCACTGGACGATCTGCAGAACTGCAGCGTTTTGCAGGGTTTTCATGCTCCAGTTCATGTGATCAGTCAGACCGCCGCGGCCTCTGACACTGAAGATGCAGCTCGTTGGTTTGACACAGTTAGATGGCCCGGTTCCCAGCCAGCCAGCCAGCCAGGGGGTTCTGAGCCCAAAGCTACGTGATCCAACAGGGCAGAAGACCTGAAAACAAAGAGAGGTAAGAAATGTAGCAATCAGAACCACTGCTACACACAAAAGCCTTATTTTACTTTATTCTATTTTTCTGTTACTCTGAAGGTTTAACTTTATTATATGTCCCTTAAATTCACAAGACAATTATACAAATTCATATAAATAAAGGCAAACAAATGAAAATGAAGATATGAAGTATAAATTGAAAGAGAGACATAAACAAATAAAGAGAAAGCAAAGAGTTAACAGGTTGTATGACAGGCGACTAACATAATATTAGATTCCAACACAGCTTAAACCTGCTGTAGGTAACAATCTTTTTTCATGTACTTCTAAGATAATCTGTGAATTTTTATTTAGCTCTTCTGCCTTCTCCCAGTAGTCCCAATGCCATCTGCAGAAACACACCATTGAGTCAAAAAACAACCAATCAGAGCGCTAAGACCCTGCTCCTGGCTCTGATTGGTTGTTTCTGATGTGGAGCAGTTCTTTAAATGCAAATGGAAACAATTGCACTAGAAGGAGGTTGATCTTATTTTCACCGATTATCTGTCTCATACCAAACTGTCACAACATAGTGATACTTTTAACAAAGTAAGATGCAGTAATATAGCCATGCTAAAACATGAGATTAAGAGAAAGAATTTCGCCTGGGTCATGAGACACCGCTACTGGACGACTGAAGGCTGGAAGAAAGTTTATGGAAAGATGAATCAAAATTTGAAATCTTCAGTTCAACACACAGAATCGTTGTTCACCATCAAGTAGGCAAAAGGTGGGTTCCAGTGCATGTGGCGTCAACTGTCTAATATGGAGTGTGATAATCTGAAGCTGTTTCGATGGATCCACTTTTGGTGAAAAAAAAAAAGGCTACCACACCCCTCTGCAGCGCCATGCAGTACCCTGTGCCACGCGTCCAATTGGTCAAGGATTCCTCCTTCAGCAGGACAATAAACCAAAACATAAGTCCAAGCTATGCCAGAACTACTTCAGGAAAATTTAACAAGATGCTAAGTTTGAAAGCATGACTTAGAGCCTGTCAAGCTGGTTTGGGATGAACTGGACAGAAGAGAGAAAGCAAAGCAACACACAAGTGCCACAGATATGGGAAAAACTTTCTAAAGATCATTTGATTTCTGTTGTAGAAAGAATGCCACAAGTGTGTTCAGCTGGTTAATCTGCCAAAAGTGGCTATTTTAGAGGGTCAAAATCTTAGAATAAATTATGAAGTTAATTCCTGTTTTAACTCCAATTTGAATGTTTTCACTATAGAGTGCGATGAGACAATGAACTGCACAAAGTCCAATAACAAACTTGGAAAACTGCCTTGTAAAACTTTTGACTAGTGGAAAAATATTCTTCTGGCTATTTTGACTCTTTCTTTTTTCATGGAAAATACTGTTGAGACACCTTGGACAATAATTGCACTGGAAGGGTAAACATGCAGATTGCCCCAGAAGCTTTTGTTTTGATATTCATTCTTATTTTTAACGTTACTTTTATACGTCTCCATTCTCCTTCCTATTCAGATTTTTGACAATGTTCTTCATATTTTCTTTTCTTCCATTTTGTACAATTGATTTACTGTTGCAGTTACATTCACTGAAACTGAGTGTAAACATCTCAGTATCGGTGAGATGCATACACTCAGTTTCAGTTTTTGAAATTAGGGAAACACACTCCTGTGAATGAGCTTTTATGACAACAGGAAAGGCAAATAGAGACAGCCACAGCGTGGAGTCGCGAATACTAGACAGGCCTAATAAAGTTTTACAGACCAGTAGTTACATTAAACATTCATGACAGCTAAATACTGCAGCAGCTGGGACCATACAGAGAAAACACACACACACACATGAACATCCTCATCAGTTATAGCCACACGTTACACATGGCAAGCTTAAATTACAACTTACAACAAAGGTCAGCTCTCATCTAAATGTGACTGTCGGTATGTAGTTTGACTGGCTTTATTTACACAACTATTCTATTAAACAGCAAAATATACAAATTGTACATGAGAATATCTTGAATGGCAAAGCAGCATTAATGTGTTGTCTTTAACAATTGTGCAAAGAGCAAAGGAAAACATGAAACTAACAGCAAAACACGAGACTAAAAGTGAATAAAACAAATTTTGTAAGCCAGAAAAAGACATTTCAGAATAAATATCACTTTTGATGAAGGAGTCTGACGGCTGAATGCAAGAGAAAAGATGAAATGAGAAAAGCGCTTCCTCATCCAGTTTATGCAAACCCAGAAGAAAAATGCAACAGTATGAGAATCAATCCGGTTTTGAGCAAGGCCAAAACCAGCTGATCTTGACGCAGCAACTTGAGTCTGCAGAATACTCACACTTGATGTCAAGATATCAGTAACAAGTTTACATCTTTAATGAAACATTTTGTGCGTTAAACACTGAAATAAATACAGTCCATTTAGTGTCTCTAGTCAACATCACAATCTCACAAGGCTGGTGACTTACAGGATGTGTTGTACGTTAAGATGTAAGTAGACAGGACTAATGAGAACACATTATTTCAAACGGGAAAAATACCATTTCATAGACGATAAAATGACCTGTGATTCAGTAGTTTTTGCTGACATAATTTCAAGTACAATAAAGCCTTTAAATATTTACAAAAAAAAAAAAAAGAAAAAAAAGAACCTGAGTTTCTTTAATTTAACCACGTTTGCATAATGTAAAGAACAAGGTTACGGCAGGATTATTTTTTCCTTGTTTTCTGCAGTGAAATCCTTAAACAGGAGCCATAAAGCTTACTCTTGTGCTGTAGGGGAAACACTTTTAACACAGTGTTTTATTTTTAATTCAGGGAGCATTTTCTGTTTTTACAAAAATATCAGATTTACTGTAAGTCTCCGACGAACCTGTTCTTGCCCTGTTTCCTTATCAGCTCAAACACAGTCGAATGTAAAATTTAAAAACCTAAAAACAGAAAAATGCTGTCATGAGGTGTCAGTGACAGCAAGGAGAAATGTCCTTTATGTGCTTAAAAACATGTATTCAGTGTTTTAAAATTACATTTTTCACCCTCGCAGGGGGTCTTCTAGCAGTGCTTTATCTGCTTCTACTCAACCTTGTCCTCCAGTGGCAGCAAAGCAAAGTGTTTTTCAAAGGGACTTTTTTAATTCTTTAATTAATTTAGGGACCAAACTGACTTCATAAAATACCAGCTTTTCAGGCTTATCCTCAATACAAAACCGAGTAATGCCTACAACCTTTGAACACTGTGGGCAGCTGAAAATTCAAATATACATTGATCCTCTTATGTAACACAATGAAACGAGCCAGGACTGAAGATATCCTTAAACACTAAGCACCGGTGCAGCAGTCAGGTTTGGTCAGGATTAACCCTGCTCAAACTTTTAGGTTTTATTAATTATAACTATTATTATTATTATTCATGGGGGAAATATTGTACAAAGTAATTTAAAAGGAGTATAGTAACTTTTTGACTCATACAAGAAGAAGCTGCAGTTTATTTTCCCTCCATACCAACCAATTTTATTACTGATTCTCGGAGGGCAGATCCATGGGAAGTTATTATGAGGACAGGTTCCCCGTGTCTGGCGTGAAGACGACAGGGCCAACCGCCGCCGTGCCAGTGGGTTTGCCGCCGAATCCCTGCTCGATTTCATCGAATGTCCGTCCTTTGGTTTCAGGGACTCGCAGGTAGGTGAAGATGAAGAAGAGGATCAGGAGGACCATAAAGATGAGGAAGACGTACGGGCCGCAAAGTTCCTGAAAGAAGGATATTTGTTATGCTGCACATTTTTTTTATGTTGCAATAAAAACGTCAACGCATTTTTCTTGGATTTTCTGTTTGGTTCTTTGTCTGACGCATGATGAACCCCTGTCCAAGTCTCGCGTGTTTTGGACTCCATCCCTGTACCCATAAGTCTGAACAACTCCTTCATGGGAAGCATCCCCACAGCATGATGCTGTCACTATTGTGTGTCACAATGATGTCCCGGTTCATGAGCACTGTCAGTTTATCTCAACTATAGCACTTTACGAGTGAGCCAGAAGGTTCAGTCTTGGTCTCATCTGACTGAAGCCCTTTCCTTCACATAATTCCTGAGACGTTTTATGGTTTTATTTCATAGCTTTCTTCATGCCAGGCTGGATTACTATGTCTCCATGGACACAGGCAGAGTGTAACTACTTCTGAAAGTATTAGACGTATTAGAGTAAAGCGGTCTGAGTGCAACACATTTTCAGGTTTTCGAACATTTTGAAAATTACATTTTGAATTATTTTCCTTCCACTAATCTATACATGTTACTTTGTCTTGGCCCGTCTTAAGAAATAACAGTGAAATACATGGAGGTTTGCAGTTGTAATCTGACAAAATGTGGAACAAAATTTAAGGGAATAAATATGGTCATAAGCCACTGTATGAGTAATAATCTGTTGCTAAATACCTCCAGTTTGGGAAATCCCAGCCCCACCAAGAAGTTGGCGGTCCAGTTGGAGCAACCAGAAACGGCCATGGCTGCAGGTCGAGGCCCCTGAGAGAAGAGCTCAGCAACGATGAACCAAGGGATGGGACCCGGACCCATCTCGAAGCTGGCGACGAAGGCGAACACGGCTATGATAGCCAGGTAACTCATAACCTGGTTGGTGCTCTGCATGGCGAGAATACAACAACTGAGGTAAAATGCATAACACAAAACCTAATGATAAATTAACTCATTGCATGTATGGCTCACCACTAAAGACAGGAAGATGGTCATGAGGAGGGCAGAGACCGCCATTCCTGCCAGTCCAATCAGGTGCAGTGTCCTTCTTCCAGCCCGCTCAACGAGGAACAGCTGAATCGCAGAGAGCAAGACTGGTCGATCAGTGGCCAGCAGCAGGAAACAAGATCTGAATAAGGACAATATGGACACTTACAGAGACGACGGTGAAGACAGTATTGACGATGCCGGCTCCGATGGTGGCAAAGATGGGCTTAGAGACACCAGCACTTTTAAATATGCCTGTCGAGTAGTAGAAAACCTGGAAAAGAAAACGGTTGTCATTGTTGAGTTTTAAATTAATAAAACATGGTCATTTAAGGGCGTCTTCCTCTGCTGTTCATGAGGATGGACAGTAACACTGAAATATCATGATACTCAAAAAATGTTAAATATAAAATTATCTTTATACATAGACAATTGATGGGTGTTCATTCATATTGAACACATATCTACATTTATCTATTTCAAAGTCTATATTCAAATTAATAGGCTTATAATTTATTTTTATAGAGCTAAATAAACTGGCGCTAAAAGGTTAACAGTGGACGGAAGATGGTTTTTCATCTGTCCATAGAGAATTGGTAACTATACATCTGCATCAATAACACACTTCTCTGCAGTTCTCTATCACTGAGCTTTGGAGACTTTAAGCTCTTAGCATAAATGTAGCTTCTCCTCCAATCTTGCTAGTCACAGTTCAACTTACTTTAACTTTTTTATTTTGCTCTGTCAATAAAGACAGAGCAAAATACACATCTGTCACTTATTTAATATGTTCTCTTGTCTTCCCCATTTGGAAGAGCGGGTAATAAAAACTGTATATTACTACAAAGAAGTTCCAGAAAACTGTGATCAACTTCTATACAGAAAAGTTGATTAAAAAGTTTCAGTTTTTTTTAAAAAAATCAATTTGTACAGATTTTACAGCAAAATATCAAGTACATCTCTTGATTTGGTGTTATGTTTTACCCTTACTTAGAGGCTGAGGAGCAGCTGACAATTCTGATTTATTAATTATGCAGAAGTACAATTTAAGTGTTTACTAAGCTTCAAGCAACAGAGTAAGTCGTTGTGTTTTCTGGGGCTTTCGTGCTCCTGAGGGAATGATTGTTTTTTTTCAGAGGGTAAACAGTCCATTATGTCCTGCAGGGAGTCCCATCAGGGATTTGAGTTTCCTTTTGCTTGCAGCTAAAAACAAGCTTCATTAGAAGTAAAAGTGAAGATTAGAAATGTTTTGTAATGCTACAAGGTATTTAGAGGTGTTAATACTCCTGATTTAAGTCCAGATATTTTTGTCCGATTCATTGTTTTTAGGAAAATATGGATGTGTGCAGCTTTAGCAGTGCTTCCATAAGGATATGGTTAAGAGAATGAGCTGCTTATTCTTAACCATGAACCTTATTCTTTATTGACACAAAGTCAATGAAGTTAATGTGTTCGGTGGAGTCCGATCAATGTTGGGTTCGCTGGGTGTTTGTCACGTCTAATGATGAATGTAGATAGCCTTGTTGCATAAGCCTGTTGTCAAAATCTTTAATAAAACACTTTATGGGACTCCACTCACACAGTCTGAAGATCTCTCGCTATGTGTTTGTCAGAAACAAGTTTAAGTCAAGCAGAGTGAGCGTTGCTGCTCGAGTTTAAAGATCTATGGTGAGCCATATGTGATGTATACTCACAGCGTTGATGCCAGACATCTGCTGTGAGAGCTGCAGGATGATGGCGATGATGATCGGCTGGCGGTAGTTTGGTGAGCGGAAGAGTTCAGGTATAGACACTTTCTTCTCCATAGCCATCTTAATGGCCTCCTCCTTCATCTCCTGAATGTCGGTATTCACATCATCGGTGCCGCGCAGACGCTCAAGGGCTGTGGCAAGAAGCGGATGAAATCAGTGGATGTAGACACAGAGTGAAAGGAGGACGCAGGTATTGTTTCAAAAATGTCAAAGACAACGCTACATGAGAGGAGGAAAAAACAGACCTTTCCTGGCCTCCTCCTCCTTGTTGAGGACGATGAGGAGGTAGCGAGGACTTTCAGGGCAGAAAGGAAGCATGACGCTCTGGATCACGGCCGGCAGGATGGTAAGAGCGAGCAGCATAGGCCACAGTTTGTCTGATCCCAAAACAGCCTCCAGACCGAAGACCTGAAACACAAAGAGGAAGAAATGAAGCACATACATCAGACTAAAATTAATTCAAGCTATATATTTATGCATGTTAGTTTAATGTATTTTTGACCACTTTTAGTTGATCTACCACATGAAATACCATTAAAACACATAGTTTGTGGTTGTAACATGAAAAAATGAAATAGTTCAAAGGGTATAAATACTTTTTCAGTCCATTGTCTTCCCAATAAGTTACAAAAGTGAGCAACAAAAATCAAAAGCTAAAAAAAAGCCTAAAGTAAGAAAACAAGCATACCTGCGACACCAGGATTCCAACAACAACACCCAGCTGGTGCAGGGTGCCAAAGGCTCCTCGCAGGGCAGTTGGAGAGATTTCGCCCAGGTACATCGGAGTCAGACCAGTGCAGAGACCGCAGAAAACACCTATGATCAATCGACCAAGGATGATCATCTCAAAGGAGCGACTCAAAGTTGATATTCCCATCAGACCACCACCCAACAGAGCCAGGACGTTCGAAAACAGCATTGATTTCCGCCTGGTTATTAGACAAAGAAACAGAGACAAACACGTCTGGATAGGAATTCATGAAAGCGACTGGATATCTTGTGAATGCCAGGTGCATTGCAATAAATTATAATGTTATCAAAAAGTTTATTCAACTTGAAGAAAGAAAACCCCATTCATACACATACTGTTGATTTATTACACAAACGGAGGGATATTTTCAACTGTTTGATTCTGTTCATTGAGATTATAATGGCTTACAGCCAACGAAAACACAGACACAAAATTGTGTTTATACACTCCACAGTGTATGGGCTCAGTACTTAGTATTTGTGCCTTTCTGAAGTTCCTTCAAACTCCAGGACTTTAATTTCCTATTTAAATTCAAAGTTTACTTTCTTCTGAAAAAAGATTTTGAACCACTGAACAACTCCTAGCCGTGTGAGTTCCTGTTTTCTCTGTAACATTTTTTTTTCTTTACTAAATTATCGAGTTATATACTTGGATACAACACTTACAGTCGGTTTTTTGAGCAATGATCTTTTATGGATTACGTTCTATGTGAAGGGTGTCTGCTGGACATTTGTCAAGTCAGCAGTGGTATTAAAGACCACACTTTAATGTTTTATGTAAGTGACATTTCTATTTTCTGATCAAATGAAACTGGGTTTTTATAATCTGTCGTTATCATCTAAAATAAAGTAAGTAAAACAAATCTATGAAATAAATATACTTCTCAATAACATTCTAAGTTATTGAGATGAAACTACAAAAATATTTTGCTTTGAATAGAAAACACTGTAAATATTCACATCTGGTCACCTGCCGAACTTGTTCACAACGACTCCAACAGAGAGCGACCCAATCATGCCACCCACACTGAAAATAGCCACAGCCACACTCCACACCATGGTGGTGTCTCCCGGGGAAAAAGGCTCTCCATAACGCTCGCTGGACACGTTCTGGAAAAAGGTTCGTAATTTCTGAAGAAAAATAAAAAGATTAAAAAAATGTTCATTTTAAAGCAAACTGAAATTTTAATTATGTCCACATGGGGGCAGAGTAGACCTCAGCACTGTTAAAATAGGCATGTCTGCTAAATAAATGAGGCCCATGTTTGGTACTACAGTCGTTACTTAGGTCGCAGTGACCCAGCTTGCACGGATAACACCAAATAGAGACTGCAAACATGAATGCAAAACTTGGCACACACCATCTCAGGTGCATTGATGACTCCTGTGTTGTATCCAAACTGCAGTGAGCCAATCGCTGCAGTTGAGACGCAGAAGATAAGGTAGGAGTTCAACTTGGTCTTGGACTGTTGGGAGAGAAAAAGGCAGAGCGTTATGGCAGGCCAGCGCAGATGAAAGCAGATGGAGCTCGTGTACAAATGGCTCCCTGGGTTTGAATGCTGGATGTGTCCAATTCCAGGCTAGAAACAAAGCTCTGGTTGTTTACACGAACATTGGTAATTACACAAAATGAGGCTTTTCTGTAAATGCTCTCCCTCTTGTTTTCAGATCAGCGCATTAACAGCTGCAGGCCGAGTTCTGAAAGCAGGTTTTAGCACACTGCACGTGTCCTGTGATTTGTGGGTCGGAGGTATTTCTCAGAAAAGGAGCTAAACAGGCGCTCAGAACGTTTTCTCCTACTGGTTTAAGAATTAAAGTGGGCTCAGCTTTTAATACCTGGCTAATTCACCTGACAAAAATTGGTTACTGTGCTGGGACAAAGTATTTGCCCTCTAACAGCCTTTTTTCTCTCCTTGATCACATCCAGATGTGTTAGAGCTTCAAATAAACTTTAATATTGGACAAGCATAACCTGAGCAAAAACAAAACACACATCCAGACCAATCTAACACACCAATACAGTTGTTTTACTTCTGCCAAATTGGAGGCTTTTTGAGGATGAACTCCATACTTATTGCTGTGAATGTGACAGGAATATCTGTTATATTAAAGCCTTTAAACTGGGGCTTGAATGGCAGACTCCAAAACCTTCAGCTTTGTTTTTTTATTTAGCCCCTTAGAGGATGCACCTTCATTTCCTGAAGCTATAACCAAAGTGATCATGAGGTTAAGCCCACAACCTCAAGATGTGGAATGATCTTCTCCTTTGGGATTTTCCAGAAGAGAGCAAAATTCATCTTTCTATCATTTACAGCAAGCTGTCCAGGGCCTGATAAGCAAAGCATTTCAAGATAGCACCAACTGTCTTATCAGTTCAAAAAACATTTAACACATTCTTCTGATGCCTCTAGGAGGAGTAATCATGGTACCCTTGGAGTAATTTTGATTAGTTGTGAAGGTTCACCACTATTTGATGTCTTCTCCATTTGTGGGTAATGGCACTCAGTGTGATTCAAAGGACTCCAAAAACCTTAGAAATGGCTTTGTGAGCCTTTCTGGACTAATAGATGGTTTGGTTGACTGTATTTCAATCTAATTTCTTTAGATTGCAGAAGGATGTGTTGCTTTTTGAGATATTCAAGTCTATATTTCATGCTGTTGTCTGACAGGTTCCCTTTAAGTTATTTATTGATTCTACAGATATATCAGTAATCTGACCATAATCACATTTTTAAATATGACCAGGTTGGTTTGGATAGATTTTCTTCTCCTGATAAACAAAACAGTTACTTGAAAACTGCACTTTATATTTTCTGGTTAGTCTGATCTTAGAATTTGTTTGATAAAATCAAAATGCAAGTGCAAAACAGAACAAATGTGTAATGTGGCTAATTCTTTCTCACAGTTCCCTACAAAGCTGCCAAAAGAGAGAATTGTAGAACGTAGCGAAGCAGAAATGAATCCAGGTGTTTATGAGGTTGTGGCTTTAAGCATGCTTTGTGGAGGCAGCACTCCAAAAAGTTTCATTTGATTTAAAAACCAGACCTTTCAAATGACTGAAACACCGAGTTCTTCCTGGGCAGTGGATTGAGTCTAATAGAAGAGATTTGTCATCCAAACAGCCTCATTATCAGACAGAAATGCTATTTTCCCCTCTCTATTTCCAATGCTGCTGACAACTTGAAAAAAAGCTGACTCATTGTGTACATTGTTTTGTTTAATTGGTTCCCATGCTCGCATCAAGAACCTTGTCAGGAACAAGCCGACCAAAATGAGCACAAAAAGGTCAGTCCTGTCTTTCATCATATCTCTTTCTGCGCAGATTACGTAAATCAGCCCTCAAACATTATTAAAATTCCCTCCTCGGGTTATTCAGGTCAAACAGTTTCAAAATGAAGCTCAGAAAGTCTCTAGAAATGAAACAACCTGTTCTTACACAGTCTGCCATTTATCTTCTTTTTTTACTCTAAGAGAGAAGCAGTATGTCTGCAGCTGCTTGCATCTCTTAACGTAAAGCTCCAGCCGCGTCACTATGAGCCAGCAAAAAACAGGAAGCCCTGGATATTTTTTTTATGACAAATGGCAAGTCAATGATAACATTGAAAAAAAAAAACGTCAGTCGGTGACACATCTAGTGTTAGCAGAAAATCTCACATCCTAAATTTCAAACGCTGTAATTAAAGTGATGTGAAAACTTGTGACAGTGGTTTAGCTTTACTTTGCTCGCAGGTTTGGGTTGCAAATGTTTTCAAGAGGAAACAGCATTTTTGTCTTAAAATGCAATGCAAAGATCCAAGATAAAATAACAACATACAAGCGAAGGAACCAAAAACAGCAAAAATGGCATGCATTTTATTCCATTACGGTGCAGAACAGAGCGAATGCATGTGGATTGACAAATGTTAATGTTATTATGTGCAAGACACTGTATTTCTGATGATCTAGAGAATGTCAGACTCATAATAACCCACAGCAAAAATGATCAGAGTATGAATAACATGCAACTCAAAACAGGGAGCGGCCATCTATGCAAGAAGCAGCAGTGTCATATGATCATTCCATGACTGGATGAGGGGTTGTAGCAACATGTTTCAGAGCTGGCGGTTGCACAGACATGCAGTCTGTTATATGCATGTCATGGAGGCTGGCTACGCAGCATGTTGCACAACATCTCAGATTTACAGTAAGAATGATCAGGATTTGAATAAGATTACCCAGTAATATATTACTAAAAGTTGAGATGACTATGTGATGTGTCTTAGTTCTTGTTTGGATATATTGAAATCGGACATCCTCTGTAAAGCTCCATTGTCCTACTTTTTTTTTTTTTTTTTTTTTACTTTTCTTACAGTCACTGGAAAATAATTGACTTATTAAAAGCCACAAGCGATTACACTGGTCCTGATTTTCTTTGCAATGCTTAACTTCCACATTCATGCCATCTTGCAATTAGTTTCTCCATCATAGGTGAAGCAAATATTTTAAGCAACATCCACAAATGGAGCAACTGCTTGCAAAAGACCAACTACAACAAATGTTTGAGAAGGTGCAGTTTGTTATTAAGAATACAAAAATTGTATTTGTTACTTTAAAAAGAATCTTTGTACAAATCTTGTTTCATTCTGCTAGACATTGCTAAAAACATCTTGCATGTATGTGGTAGAAAAACTTCAAACTCCACAAATGTACTATTCCTAAGGTTTAAAGCCCTTCAAATAAGTTACGCAATTAAAACAGCAATGACCCTCCAACCATTAATAACAGCTTATTTCTGTTACTTGACAAAAAGCTACAAATTCCAAAGAGGTGATATTCTGTATGACAAAGTATTAGAGCCATACTAAAAATATATATAGAATTACAACAATAAAGTTTTACTAATGCAACAACAAAGTCGTAGTATTACAAGAATAAAATACTACGACTTTATTCTTGTAATACTCCTCGTGTTATTCAGGAGTATAACACGAGGAGTAACATAAAATACTACGACTTTATTCTTGTAATATTATTTTCTAAGCACAGCCCTAATACTCCAATTTCCCTGAGGGTAAATCCCAAAGGGATGAATACAGTTTCTATCTGTCTCTGTCTGTCTGTCTGTCTGTCTGTCTGTCTGTCTGTCTGTCTGTCTACATGCAGTTGTAGACCCACATGTTTTCCTCACTGCAGTGTGTTTCTCAACTTCAAGCTTCTTGCTTGGTTCCTTAAATAAACATTTGTTGAATCAAGAGATGTTTAAACAATGCACTTTTTGAAAGACCCTCTGTTCAGTAAAAGATAGCAAGACTTTTCAACTCAGAAGGCTCAAATCAAAGTAAACTGGTGTTGAAGTCTAACTTGAGTTGGACGTGCTTTGTGATTGCATCAAACTGGGCCCAAGTATCACCTCTATTGATCACAAATCAATACCTCAGAATGACTGTCAGCTGAAATAATTACAGTGTTTCGGTCTTAAATAAAAGCTCCTACATCATGCAGCATATTTTCATTCTAGTTATAATATAGCAAATATTATGACACTCTGCAATAACACCAGTTTTACTTGATATAAAACTTTCAGATTAACATGTAAGGGCTCTGCTTTTGCTACACATTTTCTTCAGTGTCATCCCACTTTTGAATACAATTGAACTGAATGCAGTAAACCTAAGGACACACAAGTCCCATCTTGCCCCCTAAGAATCCTGCCTTACTTTTCCCATCCTTAGTCATGTCCTGAAAAGCTCAACTCACATCCAGAGCTCCTGAGTGGAAAAATACTCCGGTACTGGAACCAGGAGTTCTGTTACCCAATTTGATAATCTCACACATCCATTACAGTGTTACTAATGTGGTATAGAAACAACAGAACTTGAATGTTATTGCTAAATAGTTGCTAAAAGATAGTATAACATGAGAATGGCTTTTTGTTTACCCTGTCCTCCTCCAGCTCCTGCATCTTGTTCGTTGCTCCTTAAGAGATATGAGGGTGAACACTTCTGGGACTCTTCAGAGATGGGTGTCTCTACTGCCTAACAAGCAAGCTCTTCTTGGATAACTGCTGCAGGAAAACCTGAAAACAATCAAAACAAATAAAAATATATTAAAACAAACACACACAAAACAAGATTTAGAGCCTTCAGTACAATAACTTTAAAAAGAAAATTTCCAACGCATCTTCTCAATATCAAATCTGAGGAAAACTAGTCTGAAAGCGTTTACCGCAGAACACCAGTCGCCTGAACAACGGGAGATGCTGACTTGAACCATGAATGAATTCAGCAGACAGACACTCAAACTTAACAGCAAACTCCTCCCTTCTCTTCCGCACTCAACTCTCCTCTTTTGCTACTCCAGTTTATGACCCCGCGACAGCTTCAACTTTTCACACAGCAACTGCATGAACTGTTTCTCATGATCGCTAATAATACATACAGTAAGTTCATCGTGGAAACTTCATATTGTGATCGGGCTTACACAATTAAATTCGAATAGTGTATTTCTCTAAGACGAGGTTATAAACACATTTGTAATATAAAGCATGGCAATAAAAAGAAATGAAATAAAAATGACTAATTACCTTTAAAGTGAAGTGGTTTTTTTATTAATATTTTGTTTCAATAAATAAATCCTCTCCAGCTGAGTTTGCTCTGATAAGTGTTCACTCTATCTGCGTTGGGGGGTTTTATACTGACTGACACAACCTCGTCCACACGTTACAAAGCGCGTCCTGAGCAAATAAGAGCATCTCAAGTGAGTAACGCATCCGCGCAGTGATGTCTGCGGAAACGCAGCAGACGCGCCATCGCGCGGATACGTGCTCCGGCGAACGTCGACACGTACCGCGCATTTCAAAAGGGCGGGGCAGGGGCGGCAGAAGAAAACCCTGCTGGGTGAATGGAGGCTCTGTCCGGCTGCCGGTGGCCCCGCTGGGCGCCCACCGGGGCAGCTATAACAAAGGCTGGACGCCCCACAGGTCAGACCCAAAGCCTGGTCATGCAGAAATCATGAGACCGGCTCAGTGGGAGGCAAACGAACCGGCCCCCGATTAATTCTGCCCCTAATGTAATCTTTACAGCTGCTGAAAGCTTATTTATGAACCTAAGGAAATTATCCAGGACAAAAAAAAAAAAAGGAAACAAAGAAAGAAAGGTAGCATTTGAAAGTTTTTCTCCCTGTCTTAATGAATATCGTTCATAAATTCATAACTACTTGGGCCTAAATGCGGTCCAAAACACTGCTGTAAGCAATTTTTTGTGGAAGCTCACTGTCAGTAAAGTTGAGGGAAATATACCACAAACACAGACAGAACTGATACAGGATAGAAAGAATACAAACTAAACTAATTTAATGAAACATAATTGAAGTACCTGCAGGGTATACCTCCAAAGAAGAAGGTAGCATGCATGAGAGGTGAAGAAGAAAGTGCAGGAAGGGTGGAGTGGTTGGAGGGATTTGTGACAGAGGTGCAATATACACAGGTAGTGTCAATGATGCAATAAGACTTGCCCAACAAGCCCAACAACATAGTAAGGACTAATTTGACTCCCTTTAATTTCATTCAGCCTGAGCTGAACCCTGTGGTCTATTGGACTGAGGATTTATCTCATGTGAATATTGCAGATTTAAATCATCCAGTAAGCCACAGCATTGCCACCAGCAGAGAACTGGGCTTTTACCACATATACAGCAAAAATTTAAACACAGTGCCTTGAAGACGTATTGATACCGTAGAGTGTTTTTTTTTTGTTTGTTTGTTTTAATGTGAAACCACAAATTTCAACATGTGTTATTAGAGTTTTGAGTTAAAGCAGATCTGAAGTTTTTGGATGTTTTTTTCACTGAGTCTGCAACTCTTTTGGGGTGTGTCTACCAGCTTTGCTGTTCGTTCTTTGCAAATGAGCTGAAACTCTGTCAGATGGCGAGAAGAACTTATGAACATACTTTTTCAGGGTCACCCTCCCCGCCCCCACAGATTCCCATTTGAATTTTGGTCTCCATGACCGTGCAATTCTATTTTATTAATATACCCATCTAAACCATTCTATCATACAGTAGCTCGAATGCTGGCCTGGATTTGTGCTGGATTGTTTCCGCATTCTGGATTGTTCTGCAAGCCAAAGCATCTCTAAAGATGTTGAGAAAAGTAACTGATAGTGGACGAAGTTACAGTGAAACAAATAAAACAAACTAGCAAAGCACATTACATATCCTCACAACTTGAGGGCCCTTTCAGGGGAATCGCCATGAAATTGGGACAATATGAGGCTCCACAGTTGACAGTGGATGATAGAGAGGAAAAACCAAACGTGAAATCAAAGGAATTGTCTGTAGATTTCCGACACAGGATTGTGCTGAGGCACAAACCTGGTGAAGGATACAGAAACATTCCTGCTGCTCTGAAGGTCTCAATGAGCTCAGTGGCCTCCATCATCGGTTACAGCAAGAGAACTCTATGGCAACGCAGCCCCTTTCCGCAGTCTGGCTGCGCGCGCATCCGCCGTGTTTACAAACAAATAATCCCTCCATGGTTTTCAGGCAGAGCAAGTCAACTGGTTGAAATGTCGTGTTGTTGTTCAAATTAAGGTCAAAAGAATACACGCTATAAAAATTTTCTTTGCATGTGTGATAATGCGTGACAAAAACGTTTTGCCATTAACAGGTTGAGTCATGATTAATTTTGTACTAATAATTCAAATAAATTTATACATTTTGTTTATTTAATCGACTGAAACTTTAGTATAATTAAAAACCAGACAAAAACTAAAACGATTCCGATGACTAAACTTAAATTATATTAATTTCGTCCAAAGTCTAAGACTAAAACAAACATTTGCTGTCGAACACTAGCTTTGTTTCGGAACTGAAATACAACAGAAAGGAAATGCATTACTAGTTAATATGCTACTCACCTTTCTACATTTCTTTTGTATGTCTATGTGCCTTTCAAACACATACTTACAAAGTTTTCCCAGGATATAAAGCGACTAAAGTACTTTCAGGTCTTCATGAGTCCTTTACTCTCTCCCAACTGCCTCAAATCTTGTTGACATGGTTACCGAACGGAGAAAATTCGGTAACCATTTTTCAGCAAAAGATAGTTTGCTGACAAAGAGCGATCACTCGGCCACATTTTTAAAAACACATTATAACAAAGACTTTTGTAATACAAATGTGATACTCTGATCAATTTTAAAACCAATCTTAGCACGAATTCAGTCACACAGATTTCTAACTATGAACTTACTTACCAATTTGTTAATGTCAAAATAGTGCCAAATTATTTGGCATTTTTTGGTCAAATGTAACAGATTATGTTTTAAATGCCTGGTTTAACACATGAAGTGGGCTTTTATGTGTTTAGCTCATGGATACACTGCAGCATTGCCACAGAAAGGAGCACCAATAGGTTATCTCTTTGGTAATTGAAAAGTCAGTAAAAGAGTCTAGAGAGTTCTAAAGTGGAAACGCAGACAGCTGGAGACGTCCTGAACAGTTTAACTGACTCCCACTAATTGATGTACAATCAGTATTGAACGCACAGAGACCGGAAGATAAAGACCCACTGTAATGGAACATTTCATAATGTGCTCCTCACTCCTCTTCTGCTTTATGTACTTCTTCACAGTAATATCATGAGCTTGGTCAAGCTGCTCTCAAGTCTTATGCTGCGTCAAAAACAGCAGGGGAGAGCTCCTTGATCCCGGAGACTTAGTGTTACTTCCCCAGTAAGACTTATCTGCCCTCTTTAGCATGAAAGAACAACAATAGACAAATGGCAAGACCATCGGTGTTGGGCTCCACAGAGTTCTTGGTACATAAGAATCAGGGATTCACACCTATTGTCCAATCAAGTCTCCTCTGACCAGAACCTACAAAAAGTAACCAGACTGACAGTAACCAGTCAAGCAGACTGACAGACTCCTTTGACTCTGTATTTCTGCTCTTCCCTTTTCAAGGTTTTAAGAAATTTCTTATTTTCTTCTCATCCAGACTCTTGTTGAAGTAATTTTTTCCACAACACACACTGACATACTTTGTTATGCACAAGCTCATTCCAATGGTTTTACTATAAGAGGCCAGAGTTTATGTGAGCATATTTCATTCTTATTGCTACACATTTAAACCATGCCTCTATGTGTTTTAAGGTTTTGATAACTGATTGTCTAATGTTCTGGCTTTTCTCATATGTCTCCAGAAACCATAAAAAGCCTTAGAAACAACAGCTTTTTAGCACAAAGACAAGGGAAACAAAAGGAATTATTAAAGAGCAATACACAAGAGTGGGAAGCTGAAAGACAAAAGAGAGGCATCCTGCAGGAGATGAACCTCTCTGCTGGCCCTTAGATGAATAGACAAGATTCACGGCATGGGTGGAGGTCGAGATCCACCCTCAAATGACTCTTTAGGTTTTTGTGTGAATTGGGAAATAACCTTCTGGCTGCAGTTCCTGGCTTTGATGAAATACAGTAGTAAACAAAGAAAGTAAAGGCTGATTGCACTTGCCAGCTCAAGCCAGCTCAGACTTGCAAAATACTCTGAGTCTCATTGACCGTTTTACGTGTAAGTTTTGTTAAGGGTCAGTAAAACTGCCGGGATGTAGAGGAGCCAAAAAATTTTAACTTTGATTTTCTGATTGGAGTCTCGTTTTTATAACTTTAGGACATTTTCTTTTTTTTCAATCGGTTGCCCCACAGTCTCACGGCTATGCAGAATGTATCCCTTTGTAGCTCTTACTTGGTCAAACATTTGGTACTGTCGACGCCTTTGTTGCAACTTTGATAACCAGAGAGTTCAAAGTTTTATGCAATCTGCTAAAAGTGCTGCGGAGAAATGTAGATAAAAAAAAAAAAAAGTTAAAAATAACAAACAATGGAAGTAACAGATCGTTATAGTTTGGTCAAAGGTTGGTGCAGGAAGAGATGAGATCAACAATCAATGACATATTGTGAAGTAAAAATTGTGTTATTATTTCTTTTAAGAATTTTATTTTAATTCATGGAGATGTTTATTTAACACTAGTATTGTTTAGTCTGTTAAACCGTGTAGGTCAAGGAGTCTTTAAAGAATTAGTTAGATAGGTTTCCTTTTGACCTCTCCTTGGAAAAGTTCCACTAGGTTGTCAGTGACTAAAATAAGGCGCCAGTGTTTGTTAACAAATAACAATAAACAGGTTAGGTTATTGTAGTGAGATGGAATAAACCCTAAGGCTTAACAAATTCCTCCATTAAAATGTCCCAAGCTAAGGCTACGTGCTGAGTGCACGTACGAAGTCTGATAATGTTCTTGTTATGCAAAATTGTTCCATTAGTAAACCTGATTTTTGGAATGCATTCTCTCTACACCCTGTTAAGAGTGACTGTGCATTAACCTTTTCGACTGGAATTGGCTCTGGGTCAGGGAGTGACCACATTGTATAGAGAGTCGTATGTATTGTGAGAGCTTTTAGCTCCAAGTCAGAACTCATTGTAGGTAAGGCTGTTGTGTTGTGGTCACTGTGTGTTCTCCGTTTGCAAACGACTGAAATAAAGATTTTGCTCTTTGCCATTTGCCAGAGTCTCAAGCCTGATCTGTTAATACAGATTAGATTTTGTTTTTTCCACAATATCACATGGTTCAAAGTTTTCAGAAGGTAATATACAAATAATCCGTGAGATTTAAGCACTTTTATGATTATTAATTCTCACAACACTTCTAAATACTTGACTACTAGAACAAAATAAACTGATGGGTTAAATATATGTAAAAATTGGTTTGTTCGCATTTCTGAAATGGGAAAAAAGAAGAAATGAGTTTCCAATGCATAACCGTGAATTGGTGAAGGAATGAACCGACAGGAACTGACAGAAACTCCTAGGATGAGAGATTTTGACGATCCATGGATATGAGAAACAAACATAAATCAACAGACAGTTCAAGACAAAAGATCAGCAAAAGATTTTTTTTTAAAAAAAAAAAGAGGAAAGACTGAAGGTTTGAGTGTAGTAATACACAAGCAAGTAATTACAACCTTGGATTCAGTATTCAACTATGGACCATGGACACCAAAGTGCCTTCCATGGTCCCAGGTGTGGAAAATCCTGCAACTTGGCATGGAGACAGTTTCTACAGCAAAAATAACATTCATTTTATTCCATTACGGTGCAGAACAGCGCGAATCCATGTGGATTAACAAATGTTAATGTTTTTGTGATAGAATGGGTTGGTCTCAGGAGCTCAGTGAAGTCCAGTATTACATCTTGCTATGTAATGTACCTAAGATTAAATCAATTTGCATCAAAAACACTAGAATAATATTAAAAGCTGGAAAACCCAAACATGGCTTCAAAGTGGGTTACATTAGAATTACAAAGTTAGTATTTTATTAAAATCTAATTCTGTCAGCAAGATCATAAATGCATTAATTTATTCGACGCAGAAGTAGTAAAAATCAAGCCCAGATTTGAATTTTTTTTAAAAATCTGATAGAGGCAGCCATGCCTCTGTTTCCTGTGTGGTTGTTGTCTGCCTCTATTAAAATGACTGAAACCAACCATTTCTAATACTTCATGCTGTCACAGAATTTGTTTTTTCTCATGCATATTCTGTCACAACCAGCAATGTTTTTTGTTCAAGAGAAAGATTAATATGCACTAACCACTTTCATTTGGTGCAGATACAGAATCTCTTTAAGGGTTATTTTAACAGGGAATTAAGACATCAGAAATTAGTATATCCTAGGCTTCAGGGAAAATGTGACTGTGTCTAAAAAGTTATGTCATACATCTATTTTTTCAAGGTTAAACAGGAAGATCTTCTAAACTTCTGCAGAATTCAGTTTTGTCATCCAGCAAGGAAACCATCCTTGCTGCAAATATAAACCACAGAGAGTGATGTGCTGATCTTCATGCCTGGTGCTTTCCAGTCAATAAATGCTTAGAAATCTGATATATATATATATATATATATATATTGGTATGTATAAATATACCAATCTGGCAAGCTACATCAGCTGGCTCCTCAGCCAAATTTAGCAGAATCTCCTTTAATTATCAGAACCAGAAATAAAGTATCTAAAGCGAGCTTGCCCAGAGACACAGGAAGAGAGAGAGAGAGAGAGACAGGAAAGAGCCATAAAGCTCGCCTACAATGTGTGTCACATCTTTGTAAACTATATTTCATTACGCAGTAACTTCCTGCAGTTGGGACAGAACAACTTTAAACCAGGTTTTAGGGTCACCTCGAACTTTGCTACTAAACATAAAATTTCTGACGTGGACTTGGAAGTCTTTGGTTCCGTTTTTATATTATTTTTTAATGTTTAGGTTTTTAAAATTTCATCTCATGTCTAGTATTATTTCCAGGAAGTCAGCTTTGAGTACACTTAGCAACCACCGTTAAATACGCCAAATAACGAGTCAGCCAATCACATGGCAGCCATTCAATCGAGCCAGGGATCTAGATAAGGACTTGCTGAAGTTTACAAAATGGCATGGTTGTTGGATCACGCAGGCTCGTCAAAGCATTTTCGAAACTGCTAATCTACTGGGATTTTAACACACACAACCATGTGTCAAACCAAAAAAAGTCCAAAAGAGAAAAAGTGTCCAGTGAGTCACAGTTGTGTGGATGACAAATGCTTTGGTAATTTCAGAGGAAAATGGGTGGACTGGTTTCAGATGATAGAAAAGTCACAGTAATTACTACTTCCTATATCTAAGGTGTCCAATACTTGGGATATTCAGCACACATTGAATATGCTGAATATCCAAGGTACTCAGCATATCCATTGTTATTGTCTAACATTAGGTTATACAATAGTATCTAACCTAATGTCTCTGAAGTTAGACATTATTGCTGCTATAATGTCTAACCTTAGAGCAGCAAGTGACCTCAATGAATGTCACTCATTCAAGCAGAATTTGTGAGTTTAGTTTAGTGTTCAAAATTATAGTATTCAATGCACACTGCACTTCATATTTTATTTGGTGAGAGTATTAGAACTTGGAAACAAGCAAAGTTTTTCTTCTGCTTCACAATTACAATGTGATCAAATATGAAGAAGTTGCAGTAGTACAAGTATTTTGCAAAGCGTGGCTATACTCACTCATGCGGTTTCACCTATTTAATTAATAATAATAATAATAATAAATTTTATTTGTAACGCACCTTATATTTCAAAGAAATCTCAAAGTGCTACAGAGACTAAAAAAGATAAATTGTAAAGCTTACAGTAAAACATAAAATAATACATATCACACCAAGTGGTACCAAAATAACATTAAAACTAACAATTTAAAATAAAACTTACAGTTCTAAAAGGCCTGTTTAAAAAGGTGAGTCTTAAGACCTTTTTTGAAGGCCTCCACACCTTGTGGGGCTCTCAGGGACTCTGGAAGGGCATTCCAGAGCCGCAGAGCTACTACCTGAAAAGCCCTTTCCCCCATAGTGGCTAGTTTGGTCTTAGGTTGATGTAGGCAGTAGAAGGAGGTGGAGGAACGAAGACTTCGAGCGGTAGCGTGCGGTGAGAGGAGTTCACTGAGATAAGCAGGAGCAGTTCCATGGATGCATTGATAGGTGAGCAGACAGAGTTTGTAATGTATTCTATGTTTGATCGGTAGCCAATGAAGTGAATGAAGAGCAGAAGTGATATGGTCGTATTTGCGCCTCCTCATCAGGACCCGGGCAGCACAGTTCTGAATGTGCTGGAGCTTTTGCAGGTTTTTACCAGAGGTCCCAACGATGAGGGCATTCCAGTAGTCCAACCGTGAGGAGATAAAGGCATGGATCAACCTCTCAGCATCCGGTTGGGAAAGGGAGGGGCGGAGTCTGGCAATGTTTTTGAGATGGAGGAAGGAGACTTTAGAAAGATGACGGATGTGGGAGTTGAAAGTGAGGTTAGAGTCAAACCTAACTCCATGGTTTGTGACGGTGGTAGAAAAGGGAATGTTAAGACCAAATATTGAGATACTGCTGAGATTAGAGGACTGAGTTTGATGAGGGGTGCCAAAAAGGATTACATCCGTTTTATTACTGTTAAGTTGAAGAGAGTTGGCAGTCATCCATGCCTTTATCTCCTCCAAGCAAAGCTGAAGTGAAGACGGAAGAACTGTAGAAGTGGAGTCCATTTTCATATACAGTTGTGTATCATCGGCATAGCAGTGAAAGGAGACCTTGTGTTTATCGATTATATGACCAAGGGGGAGCATATAGATGGTGAAAAGGTTGGCCCGAGGACTGACCCTTGTGGAACTCCACAAGTCACAGTATGAGTTGAAGATTTACACTGACCCAAGGAAACATATTCAGTTCTATTGGTAAGATATGAATGAAACCATTTAAGTACTGTACCCGAAAGTCCAATTTCTGACTGTAGCCTGTTGAGAAGGATGGTGTGGTTCACTGTGTCGAATGCAGCCGACAGGTCAAGGAGGAGGAGAACAGATGCTGAGCCCTGGTCCGCAGTCATGAGAAGGTCATTCATTACGCGAACCAGAGCTGTCTCTGTACTGTGAGCGGAACGGAAACCAGACTGAAACTTTTCGTAGAAGTTATGGATGTGAAGATGTTGATGAAGTTGGGCTGCCACAACTTTTTCCAGAACTTTGGATATAAACGGTAAATTTGAAACAGGTCTGTAATGGGCAAGGATGTTGGGGTCAAGTGAGGGTTTTTTCAGATAAGGGTGGATGACTGCAGTTTTAAGAGCTGGGGGAACCTGACTGGCCCACAAAGACTGATTAATAATGGTTGTGATTAATGGGCAAATGGCTGTAATATTAGACTTAAGTAATGCTGTGGGGAGAGGATCTAGCACGCAGGTGGAAGTTTTCATGCTTTTTACGATCTTCTCCACCTCTGACTGGGTGACAACGGAGAAAGCTGAAAATGTGTTACTTTGCATGGGGAGAGTTATATCAACTTGAGATTGAGCTACTACAGAGAGAGCAGACTGGATTGATGTCACCTTATTAATGAAAAAGTCCATGAATCTATTGCAATGATCCATACTGGTATCAGTATGCATGTATGTTGAAGGTTTGACCAGAGAGTTTATTTCAGAGAATAACTGTTTGGAATTCCCACGGCTATTCGAAATTTTTAGGGAAAAATAACGGGATCCTGCTGCAGTGAGTGCTCTGGAATATGTCTTTTGGTGTTCGCGATAGGCTTGTTTGTGGACCACTAAGCCACTGGAGATAAACTGCCGTTCCAGGGCACGACCTGCAGTTTTCATTGTACGGAGTTCAGATGTATACCATGGAGCTGATCTGGAGAAATTCCACCTGTTACCTTACAATGACTTTCTTTTACCACTGAAACAGCATTTGATCTTAATTTATCTACATTGCTTCTAGGAAGTGCTTCACCTTTTTCACATTTTAGCATTTTACAACCCTATTTTAAATAGTATAAAATTAATCTCTTTCCTCAATAAAATGCCCCATCATGAACACATGTAAAAAATTGTGCTTTGCAAATTTATGAAAAGTAGAAAACCATCAAATACATTCACATTCTTAGTTTAATACCTTGTCGATTCACCTTTGTCAGCAATCATAGCTTTAAGCCAACCTTAAGGCTCAAACTAATGACTTCATTAGTTTGAGTCATTCTTTGCAATTCTTTATTCTTTATATATCCACTATGTTAGGTCGGAGATGTCTCGCAGACATTTCCTGATGACCGTTGGCTTCTTGGTCAGCTCCTCGATTCAGACCCTTGTCACCTGATCGTTCAGTTCAGATATCTAGCCACCTCTTGTGGTTACAAACTTCCTCCATTTACCAATAATGTCGGTCACTGAACTCATCGTCACCTTCAAAGCAGAAGAAATTTGGAAATGATTCCCAAGATTTGCGACTCAAGGCAATTCTTTTACTTCAGGTTAAATGCAAGTTAGAAACATCTTAAGGACAATCGATGGAAATAGCTCAATTTTGAGTTCCAGTAATAAAGTATTAAGAAAATGTTGTACATATGAATGTAAATGTGATTTTATTTTGGATTCCTTCTCAACACTCAAAACATTTTCCCCCTTTATCACAATTTGATATTTGCATGTAGAATTCTGAAAAAAGAGATTAATACGATTTGGAATAAGGCTGCAACATACCAAAATGAGCAAAAAGTGGAGCACGGTGAATACTTTCCAGATGCAGGATCAGTTACAATTTGATCCTGACCTTTCAACGACTAAATACTCCCAGGGAAATTGGAAACAATTGTTTTACCAGAATAGTTTTGTCATCTACATCTAACTCACAATGAAGAAAATAGCTGACACACAACTTTGCTCATCTACACTCTGGAAACAGAAAAACCTTCATTCTGTTGTCAGTCAGTAAAACCATGAAGGAAACTTATTTTATCAGCATATACATATAGTTTAACCATGGATTAACAAGTTGTGAGAATGTAATGGTGTTTTATATGTTTATGTTTTAGCTGAAGCTTTCCTTGTTTAATTGACATGGGTTAATAGTGTGCATTTCCACACAGCCCCTCCTGATACAACATACCAGCTGTAGATTCCAGACTTGAATAAATCTGGGTGTAACATTAATCTGCGTGTAACATTAATCTGCATGAAGCAATCAGCAACATGTTTGTTAATCTGTATGCAGCTGTGATTCAAGTTATCAAAAAAAAAGAAATAAAGGTATTTCCCAAGTTGTGATACCATAGACATCAAGAATGCTTCTTCTGTGTTATTTTAAACATTTAAAATCAGCTATCCAAACCACATTGCAGGTCAAAAGAGGTTTTCATATCAATGTTCAGAAGCTGAACCAGAGAAAATTATTTCTGTTTGAAAAGCAATTAAAGGCTTCTCACTGCTTTAGTTTTCTAGTGGAAATGAACAAGCCATTGATTGTAATAGTTGGAAATGTTCAATGAACATGGTTGTTTGTTGGGCCTAATCTGACCACGTGCTTTTCTTCAGTTCCATTTTTGTCTAACGTTCATTTGCTCCTTTCCAACTGATCTCAGGGCGCCACTGTGCGGCCAACAGAGGGAACTACAGCAACTCTTGGACTTTTTTTTTTTTTTTTTACATAAAGTGTTTTTAACCTACAGAGATGTCATGCTTATATTAAGAAATATGGTTTTATTTCCTTTCACAATGACGGTAATTCAAAATAGAAAAAAAAACAAAACACATCCAAGACCCGTTACAGTCTTGAATTCATTTGGTGAAATTGTAATAGTGTCTTTAACAGACAGGGGCCAAACATTTTTGACACAGAAATAAAATTTTTATATCTTGTTTTATGGCTTCCAGGTCACTGTGAAGACAAAAATCATTTTTTTTGTTTTTTTTTGTGATAACCTGGAAGCTACCATGGCTGGATAAAAATCAGTCAACAAAATCAGTAGGAGTTGAAACATTTATTTTTATTTTACAAATGTTTTAAACTCAATGAAATCTGAATCTGACCAAACTACACATGTGAACACAATGTCCGAGGTAGTCCTTTCAGTAATGAACTGTGAGTTCCCAGATGATTTTATCTGATTCTGTGATGAAATATTTAGCAATCTGGGTTAAAGTAACAACGACAAAGGGAAAGAAATTTGTAACATTTCCACCAGAACCGACACATGCTGAAAATGTTGTTTACTGTGCCTGGCAAAAAGCTACAACTAAACACATTTCTCAAACTTTGTAACAATGTGACTTAATCTATAGATTATAAAGGGAGAAAAACTAAACCGTCACATGGTAACAGCTGTGCGTGTTTACAGTTTAAATTGGTCACACTGATGACAAAGTGACGGATGTGATGGAGATGTCTTCAGCCATACTACAGAGGTACGGGTTTGGAGTAACAACATTACGACCGGAAAGGAGCTTCTGACTTCAGATCTTTCCAGGAAAACTTCCATTTTCTATCTGGTCGTCCCATTTAGCCACCTGCACAAGATGTTAAAGAGGTCTTGGTAAACAAAACCAGAGATTCTGCATAGCAGCTGCTTTCAGTTAACTGTTCTGTCTATGGCAAATACATGACAGCATTAAGCATGGCTAAATCTATATATTGCATGTTTGTTTTTTAATTATCAAATCAATAGTATGAAATACAAATAGTTTCAAGGCAATGAAGAAAAAAAAAAGGGTCAGCTGCCACCTGATATCTGTCACATTGACTCCTTTCTTTGGCTTATAAACTGCCTCAAAACTCATCTTTTCAAACATGAATATTCTCTGTAATGTTCAATTAGCACAAGCTGCTGATAGTTTGTTGGTTTATTGTTGCTTTTATCTTGTATGTACATTGTCCTTTAGTGTTTTGAAAGTTGACTTAAATAAAATATATTAATTTATTACTATTATTAAAAATACTCACCCAGCCCATTGGACAGAGGCTCTTATAAACCCTCTGGTACCACTGACAGGGAGACACATCCTGGCCTTTGGCTGACAGGGCCTTGTTGCATCGGTGAAAATCTGCAGCACAAAATAATCCAGAGGTTGAACTTTTATTATTTCACAAGAAACTCGCAGATTAAAAAATTAACATCTTTGGTTATATAACTCACAGTTCGACTGCCATTAGAACTCGCAATATGCTGACATTTGTGATAACAAGTGAAGGATATTTTATCGTTTACACTTTACTCAGAGGAGCTGGTACGAAAATGATCAAATCTTATCAAGCAAAAAACGAATAAACGTCTATAAAAAAATCTGTTTTTATAATTGCTGTAATATTTAATGTTAGAAAGCACTGACATCACACCTTTGATTATTTAAAAATGACCAAAAATGAATAAGAAAAACTGAAGTACAAATGCTGGAATAATCACAATTGTGACCTCAGCTGTCAGTGTTATATTTTTGCTACAAATAGTAAATATTTCAGAAATTAAAAGGCTTAATAAATATATTAACGCAACATTTTTCTGTAATAATTAGTTGTACTTAAGCAACAAACTGCTTAGCACAGAGTCACTCACTTGTTTGTTTAGAACAAAAAACAACAAAAAGAGTTAAAGTATAAAAGATTTCCTTAGGCCTAAAATGAACACATTGTGAATAACTTTAAAGTGAAATCCCAGTGTGGTAGACAAGCAGACAGAGTTAAATGTTTTTGTTTTGATTTCTTTGACAAATCCAGCCTACAAAACCTCATTATAATGATGCTGAATGTCTGTTTTTTTTAATACATACATGTTTAAAATTACCAATGCAACAGATTTCAAATATAATTTCTAGTTTAAACTGAAACCCCATAAACAGCAGTATTAATATCATGCAGTTTCTTAATGACCTTTATTGTTCCTGTTTTGTTGTTTTAACTTCAGGTCGTGTTTGACAGGAGTTACGTAACAATCCTGTCACATAACAGGACACTTTCATGTGTGACACTTTCATGTGTGTAATCGGAATATGGGGACGTCCTCACCCAGGTAGTTCTGGAAGCAGTTGCGGGTCTGGTTTGTGTTGGGGAATCTGGCGTCAAAGGGAGCCGTCCTGTAGTTTTTAATCTTCTCCTCCATAACATCGGCCATGGTTGTCGGCTTCAGTAAGCGGTCAGAGGGATGCTGAAAACAAGGGCGTTTCAATAAACAACACTTACAGCGTGTGTATGAAAATGGAAGAATATCATGACGGTCAACTGTATCGTATGGTTAAACTATAAAACATAATATTTCAAGTTGGCTAAGCTAATATTTAGCTTACCCATGCTAATTTCATTTTAATCACTCACGCTTTGTTATCTTACGTATTAAGAGCTATTGATGCTTTATTGAAAAAGACTTTGGAAACTAAAGTCTTTTTAAAGGCCAGCTGGTAGTTGGCTGCTTATGTTAAATTCAAATAAGTCCGACACCGTTTCTTGACAAAGTCGTTACAGTTACCCTTTGCTAGCTACAAGCTAACGGATTGAGGACTTGAGCTATATAGCTGTCATCATTAACAGACATTCAGAGAACGGCAGATTATTATCTACGTTTTCGTCTGTAAACCAATAAGTGATAGTGGAGCAGATGGTTAAAGGAAACCCTTAATTCTCGAAGTAAATTACAGCTAACCTTGAGATGCTGCTCGTTACGTCCTCACAGGAAAGAGGTCCAGTCCCGCAAAGGATTCTGGGAGTCCATGGAGGCAGAGTTTGAGTTTATCAACATGCTGTAATCAACTGAAGTTAATCGCAGTTGTTGACAGAGGTGGGTAGAAAACGTATTACCCCAAGGCAGTTTTTTGTCACGTAAAAGTAAAAACATACCATCTAAGAAATGACTTAAGTAAGAGTAAAGAGGTATTTGGTATGGACGCCTGTTTCCGCCACTCTTAAAAAAATACATAAATATCTCATTATAATAAGATATTATCTCATTATTTTGAGATACTATTTCATTATAATGAGATACTATTTCATTATAATGAGATTTTTTTTAACAGAGTGGCAGAAACGTGCTTCCATAATTTGATTTTAATCAAATTAAGAGCTACTGATGCCTTATTAGATTTTCTCAGAAATGTACACGAACGTGCAAATTCTGGCATTTTAAAGACTAATAAATAATATAGAATGAATACATATACGATCATTAAAAAACAGCACATTTTAAGCATAACTAACACTTTTCTCAATCCATTTTTATTATTATTTAAAGCCTCTGAAACTAATCAATCAGAAAATGTATCAGTTAGAGCAGGGTAAAGCACTACAGTGTATAGTGATTACTGTATCTTAACTTGATCTCCAAATGCCACAATGGTAACAAAGCAGTCTATTTTTTTATTAATAGTAATGGGAAATGACTTGTAGTCTAACTAAAGTTTAGTATTGCTGTGCATCAGAATGTTGCTCTGTGTCATCAAATTGTCATATCTTAAATTTTGACAGTGAAAATGTCTTTCTATGCCAATCTTCACTTGCCACCTATCTTCTATACTCATCCTCCTATAACTGATGTGGAAGTAGTTGTACGGCACCAAAATTTAGTTGACTTTTAAATCCACCTTAGTTTTTGTTGTCTTACTACAAGAGTTTGTGAATATCTGAAATCAATCTTGATCAAACAACTATTCATGCTTATATCCAATCTAGAATCACTTTCTGATCTACATTGGAGAAACCTGAGAAACTGTTGCAGGGATGGGGAAACATGCAACCTCCAAGCAGAAGTTTTTAGGTAAGTAAGTTTTACTACTATTGTAATAGGGTTTTGTTGGGACTTCAGGTGAAAGACTAAGACAAAATAGCCCACGAATGTGAAAATTTAAAAAACAGGTTTTTGCTCAGTAAAAATCAGAAAAAAGCACCACGGGTGTCTTGGCTGCTTTTCTTGCTGGCCCTCAAACTGAGGTGAACGGACATGTGTTGTTGCAGCTTCTCCATATCTTTCCAGTACGTGATGATGGGTGGACAGGGCTCTGTGAGATGTTCAGTACTTGAAATCCTGCCTTCAACTTCTCTGCAGCTTTCTTCTTTACCTGTCTGCTGTTTTTCTTGGTCTTCATGATTGTGTTTGTTCACAAACGTTCTCTAACCTCTGAACGCTCCACATTTGGATTTCTATTGAGCTTTAAATTAAACCCAGCTGCACTGACCACAAATTCTCCTTCTACTTCACAAGTATGCACCTTTTTATGTAAAATCATAACAAAATATGCTGACGTTTGTGTTAAAAAGAAAAGTGAAAGGGGTGTGAATACTTACACAAGGTACTTGGAATGAGACATTCCACAATCATCTGTTTTACCAAATATGGTTTAGCAATGTGAACTTGAAAGCACATGAGTCGAAACACAAGGATAGTGGCCTTTCCCTTTCCATCAGCATCTTCCTGTTGAAGACTAGGCCAAAGATCACAGGTGTCTACATCACGCATCCTGTCACTGCATGTGTTTCCTTCATCCTCTTTCCAGCGAAACATCACACAAACTCCATGTCTCTGTGATTTGGCTTGGGATTGGATTGCTCTCCTCATTGTAATTCGCTTTACTCTGCTGGATTTACATTGGACATATATTTGCGATCGATTAAAATATTTAGATTTTTATTAAACATTTAATAAGAAACTGTTATTTTTATGTGCCTAAAATGTTTTAAACTCTAATATGCACATGTAAATCCACCCTTCCCACTCTTTCTACCAATCTGTCCCTTTCTTTCTCTCTCAGCCAGGATATAGGTGTTGTCCAAAGCAAAGGAAGGAAATTCTGTCACTTGGAACAATAGGCCCGTTACTCTATCTATAGACCCAGAGTGGCTGAGAACCACAGAGAGGGAGGCAGCAGAAATTTTCCACTTAGAAAGAAAAACTTGCTAAAAGTACTTTTTAGGTTATTTTAAATAGAAACACGTTCGTACTGTAGTGAGTGTGTCGGGCCGAGGCCTTTCAAAAATGGATCTTTGTGGAGAGGAGAAGGAAACGCGCACCGTTATCGGACTTCTTTGAGCTGTTTATTTATCGTTGGGTGGATAACGATAATCATATCTTATTTTACCAAAGTGAAAGTGGGTAAGTTTATTCACAACTAAACAAATTAATGCTCTTTAATTTTCTCAGCCCACTTTAGCGCACTGTCAGCCATGGTTTCCGCCTGCAGACTGAAAAGAAAAGATTCGAGGTGTGGATTTCTGTGTCAGGATGTGAGGATTATTATGGTTTTTCAACAAAGGCTTAATGATTGTCTTCAACCCCAAAATTTGATTGTAGAGAACAAGAAAGCAGGTGTCTTCTGTTTTGCTTTTTCACCTACAATTAGGATTTAATCGCTGAGGTTTCCCAAGAAACACAGGGGCAGTGACCTTTGGAGTGGGATTTTCCCGGTCTCTGCGACAGCTGGACCTGAGTTCTACAAAACACACTTCCTGTTTGAGAATGGGAAACACACACTCTACAATTTTTAGGGGCTTTTTTATGGGGAAAAGGGAAGTGGGAATGATTTCTTTTAGTTTGTTTGCACCATGTTGACAACCTGTTGCAGGTATCCTGTTTGCATTATTTTGACGATGACATCATTCCATTGTTATATTGTTTTCTGTCCTGGCATCATTGACACACATAGATGGATTGAATGGAGAAAAAGAAATAATAGAAATGTTTATCTGTCTGAATGACATATGCATCCTGTTTTCTTTTTTTTTTTTTTGCGGGGGTTGTGGGGTCAGATGGAGGGGTCTGGCAGTCCTCGCTTCAGAAAGCTTCATTTCCCAGTCGGATTGTGGATCAACTCTCCCAGGAAACATTTTGCCAAACTGGGACGTCGTTGGCCCAGCGCCATCTCCGTCAAGTCAGTTTAAACCTTTTTTTGCTATCTTCAATTTCCTCATTGTGTGCTTTTACAGGACATCACTGCCAGTTATCATCATCAGGGTAGGATCCAGAGCCTGATAAGAATTGTTGAAGGCCCAGCCTGTGTGTTGATGCCATCTTATCTTACTTCCACTGTCATTATATCCTGTCAGCTCTGTTTGCTTCCCCTGTTTTATTTTAGTCCTGGTTGTTTTTCAGTTATAATTCACAGCTGACTCGTCTCTTCCTCCCTCCCTCTCCTCCCCCTCGCTCTTTTGTCTCCAGGTCGACTACCAGCTCAGACGCAGCCTCGCTCCACGAGGCCCCCTCTGCGCCGTCCTCTTCCCTTTCCAACTCCACCCCCTCGCTGGCTTCCCCTTCCCCATCCCCTTCTCCTTCTCCGGCCTTCCTCAGGCCCCGGCCCGCTGGCCCCCAGTCTCGGACAAAGCGTATTTCTCAGCTCTTCCTGCGGGGGCGCTCAAATAGCGACCGGGACCGGGCCGTGGGAGAGAGGGAGAGAGAGCTTTGGGCTACCTCTGTCGCCCCATCAGCCCACCACTACTTGGCCGTTGCCCCCTCCTCGGCCCCTGGCTTGATCAAGATCTATGGGGATGCTTTTGCCAGTGGAGCTAACTATCGCTCCTTGCTGGCCAACATTCATTCCACGTCCAGGCAGCTCATCGCTCAGGTCATCACTCGATACACTGAAAGAGAAAGGGAGGAGACAGAAGATGCAGGTATGGGATCCCTCATGTGTACCTCTTCATATCTTATTAAATTGCAACCAGTCTTCAATTACTTGATACGCAATGCCTTGCAACAGAACTCACATCCTTTGAACTTTTTTGTTCAATTACTACAAAATTCAACATATTGCATTGGAGCTTCATCCGAATGACGCTAAGAAGCCTGTAATTAAAAAGTATCAGAAAAAGCAAAGCATATTTTTCACAATTTTTCACAAATAAAGATCTGTAAAGTTTGGTGAGCATTTGTATTCAGTCGCCCTTTTAATCTGATACCCCTAAATAAAACAGTGCAACAAATATCCCTAACTTTGTGTTGCTGATTTTTTCCCGGGTCCCTCCTGAAAATGAGGTCTGGATTTTCTACATCATTATAAACAAAACCAGCAGTTCCACAGAAACATGACCGCTCTTTGTTTTGTCTTCTTTCCTTCTTGTATGATTTTCTAGTTATCCAGAAGCACAGCCCTGAAGACTTCCTGTTGTGTGATGTCATCGGAAAGCCTGTCCAGCAACCAGATGGCGCTATCAAATGGGAGACAGAGTGCCGGAGAGGTGTTGCCCCATGGGAATGTCCCTTGATGTTGGTGGACATGTGGCGGCCCAAGGATGGATTCGAGCGACGCTTTGAAATTTATAGGAAGGAAGACTATGAAAGAGAGGAAAGAGAAAGGGAGAAGGACCGGGAGAGGGAGGGGGAGAGCCACCAAGGTTTGTCTCTTCATGTTCAGTGAGCTGTACCTCTTAATGTAGGACACTGTGGTAAACCTGATAAATGATATGATTATATTTGGGGTAGCAGGTGTGCGCTGGCGGCGGAGCCGGATGTCGTCTGGCGGTGGGCTGGAGGAGACTGAACGAGGTCACCGTGGGAGGAACACTGAGCTCCGCAGGAGCATCAGCGACATGAACCTGAGCCTGCGCCGGCGACAGGGCAACCACGTCAGCAACGAGTCCCGTGGTACAGGGAACCGGCCCAACAATGGTGGAGGAGCACAGGATAGGAAGAACATTGTGAGCATGATCAACCCGCAGCCTGGAGAGGTAATGAGGACAATGCAGTCGGGACTGAATGTGCTCATTTGGAGCTCTAAGTACAGTGATTCTGAGATTTACAAAACAACAACGTCCAAAACATAGAATAAACA